GTGTTCCCATCTGTAGTTTGTGTTCCTGCATCTGAAGATTCCAAGCAAAATCTATTACTCCTTCCAAAATGAATGCGAAGCACGTGGATCTTGGACTTTGAAGGCCTTTAGGAGAGGTTTTTAAATGTCTTGTTGCTGGGGAAGAGTAAGGGGGAGATTGGGTCCCACCATTTTGCATTTGGCCTGTAGTGGTGTTCTTGCTTCATGAAGGCATTCAGCATATCTTTCTTTTAATATGATGTGAAAATAAAATCATGGGAATCAAATCGAGAAATAAGTGTTCATCATAGCCTGGTATTTAGGTGTTTCTACTTTAGAAACACATTTATCATTTACATTTATCTGAAGCACGGTACATAGACTTTGAGGGGTTTTTTTTGAATATATTTTCATCTGAGACCTATCAAAAACGTTCCTTGGGAACAGATGATACTGAATGGTCCTCTTCTACTAAAAACGGAAATACGAAAGGGAACCTTAAGATTGCCTATGCTGTTTTCGTTTTTGAGCCTCAAATTACAGTTGTACGCCCTTATGCTATTGGCACCAGAGATTAGGGCAAGTTCCTTTATGTTTGATTTCAATTCAAACAATAGTGTTAATAGCGTGCAATTTAACCTGGCTTCTCTAGACAGAGCCTCCAAGTTTTCTTATCTAGATCTATGTTTTTCATGCGTGCAAGTAAGTACAGTAATATCCTTGTGATAGTAAATCTAGAAATAAAATTCTTATTATGCATTAGTGTAAACTAATTGCAGCTTTCAAATGTTTTTCAGCTTTCTGAGTACTTTGAGACTTTGGCCCTACTGAATTTTGCTTAACCACATAAAATAACACTGCTGGAATTGTAGCTTTTGCATGCGCTTTCAGTGTTAGCATTAAGACACTGAATACAAAGCATACTAAAGTTAGCAAAAGAAGATGATTTCAGGAAATTATGGACTTTATTTTGTTAAAGTAGACTTGCTTAGCTTTTTGTATTCCATTGGAGAATGGTATTGTTCTTTTTTCATGTTGTCACCCCTTAGAATATCAAGGGCATTTATTACATACAGGGAAGATTAGGGACACTGAGGAAGTATTTTGTCCAAAACAGTACCATAGTACCGCTGTGTTCTAACCTGCTCCTTAACTATAGGTCGAGTCTACAGAACAAGTACAATTCAGAGATTAAAGGTGGCATCCCTAACTCATACGTGGTGTGCTGCTTAGGCTTTCTACCTTATCAGTTTTTAATCTTTCTTAAAATGATATGCTAGAATGTGTCACAGGATCACACACGACTTTAGGTTCAAAGGGACCTTTGAGTTATCTAGCCAACACCGTGCTCGAAACAGAGCTAGCTTCAAAGTTAGGTTAGGTTGCAGAGGTCTTGTTCAAAACTTGACTGGACATCTTCATGTCCAGTGATTCCATAACCTCTCTAGACAACCTGTTCTCATGCTCAAATGCTCGTTGTTAAATTCTTCCCCCTCGCCCCCCATATCTAGTAGGAGAATTCCTCACATCTATCGGGATTTTCCTTGCTGTAGCTTTCAGCCGTGGCTCCTGGTCCTTATGCTGTCCACCTCTGAGAAGAGTCGGTCTCTTTTCTTCTAATGCTCCCCAAAGGTGCAGGCAGCAAGTGAGATTTTGTTTGCGTACAGAATCGCTGCGAAGAACTCTCTAAGCACGTAACTGGCTCTAGAGGGGCTCTGCACATGAGTAGCCCTCTAGAACCAAGTAGCTGCTGGATTGCTGTAATTACAGTGGACTTGAGTGTGTTTTGGTTTTAATGGCTTTGTTAATTTTTTAAATTAGGCTGATAGGAATACTCCCAGTGTTCTTCCACACAGTTCAGTTTGTTTTCTTTGAGTCAAAATGGACCCTGCACTTGCACTGAAATGTTCTCTTAGCATGGTTATCTCTATTGCATGAGGAAGAAAAGGGTGATAATACAGTGTAGTAAGAAGTCTAGTTGCCAGGAGCTATAACAGTACAGCGAAACAATTAAAAAAAAGCCTTAAATTGATGCTTTTAATCCTTGAATCTGTATTACCAATGAATTTTTGAGTACTTTGAGACATTTAGAAAACTAGCATTAAATACAACATTTAGGCATGAGAATATACCTATTTAGAGTGACTGGTGTCTTTATTTGTAATCCTTGTTTACCAATTGAGATCTGTTTTAGCAAAATGCAACATTGACCAGTATAGTCTAGATGGAAGTTAATAGGCCTAATCGGACTCGCAGGTTGGTTGTTCCTGAGTCTCAGAAGACGGGATAAAAGGGTGCTGCTTGTCTTGCTATGGGAAGGAGAAGGATATTCTGCAGTGGGGACAGCTCCTGGCAGCTTTTATACCTTTTGGCCTCATGGTGGATGCCCATGCCCTTCTTGCCCACTCAGTGCGTCCTTTGGACAGCTCCTTCGAACTCTCTGCCCTGGAGACTGGTGGAATTGCTCCACCTTTCCCTGCAGGGGAAGGTTTGGCAGGTGCGGCAAGAGATGGCGGGAGCTTTGTGTGCCCCAAAGAGAGACTCTGAAATGTCTCTCATCTACGACACCTGGAAAGCTGGCTCATCCCCACGTACGTCTGCACTGCAGAGTAAGCTTAGATTTTGTGCTGAACCATTAGCCAAGCACATATTTCCATTTTATTTGGATTTGGAGGTGTCTTGTTGCTGATCAGCTGATCTCTCTAGGGGTCGAGATGTGCTTTTTCTTGGGCTAACAATATACCCACTTACTGGAAGGCTTAATTCTTTAAATTCTTTGTTTAGTAGACTTTGACTTTCTAGTACAGTTTCAATAGTATATATTTGGTCCATGGTGAGGCAAAAAGTTTGGGGAAAATTAGGAAAGAGAAAATTTGTGTTTAATTAAATTTTTTGTGAGGAGGTAGTTAGGGAATACACTGTAAATGAGAAGGGCAAGGAAGACAGAAGGCAAAGGAGAATAAGAAGAAATAGAACTTTGAAAGCCAAGATACAATGTAGTATTATAGAGAATATGAAAAAGTGGATGAAGGTGTATGTTTTTGTTTTTGGCTTTTTATTTTATTAAATGTATCCTGCTCAAGAAAATACATCTCATCACTTTAAATTGCAAACGCCACAACTTTGGGGTATGTGATGCAATGAGCGAAAGCATGGCTGTCTGTCTTCCCATTCAGAGATTTATGCCCTCTGAAGGCAATTTCCTCTCCCTTCCCCGCAAACCTCACAGATATTTTGTATCACAAGCTAGTGGGGGGCTTTGAGCATTTGTTTCTTCCTTTTTGATTTGAGCTTGTGGGAATGGATTTTTTTTTTTTTTGGAGCTCTTTCAGATAGTCTAGTCTAATACAGTTTCCTCATCCCAGAATTCCATTTGATACTTAGAAGACTGTGGGTGGGTGTGGGGGCTTATGGTTTGCGGGTGTTCCCATTTCCCTTAAATAAAAAAAGGCTATCCATCAGCTGCCCCTACTGTGAAGGTCTGTGCTGAGGTGGAGTTTATTTTTGCAGTTGAAATTCTGCTTTAATCAAATTGTCTCAGAGGATTGTGAAGGGATTTCTTCCTGTGGTTCAAGATTTTTAGTATCTTAGTAGTCATTGTATAAGCTGTATTGCAGAATTGTTTGTGACAACCATTGAGCAATTCACAGCTTTGAGGAAGTTAGCAAATGTCAAAATAAATAGTTGTCAGCAACGCTATCTCAGAGGAAGTTTCCCTTCAGCCTGCTATTCTTTTTGAGAACTTTTAACTTTCTGCTAGCTGGCTAGCTGCTCTTGTAAAGTGCATCCAGATTTTCTTTAAGTTGGGCCAGGGCACGAACTGAACTCTTGTATGCGCTGAGCTTGAGGTCAAAGCCTCTTGTGTTTCCAGTGGCTGAAGGAAGGCCTAATGAAGGGTTCATTAGAAATACCTACAGGAGCTGCTCTTTCGTCTTCTCTAGTGATCAGTGAAGTAAGGGAAGCCAATAAGAAAGCAGAACTGGCTGGGCTGTGTTACCCCGTAATCTACCGCTTCTGTGTGACCAAGCAGCGTCCTTACGCCGCGTTACGGGGGTGCGTCTGCCGCTGGCCTCCTCGGTCCTGCCCCCGCAGCTTCCCCTGCTGTCAGCTCAGAGCTGTCTCCCACTCCATTAACCCCTCACCTCTGTTCCTCCAAGTCCCCTCAAATTTCCAAATTGTCCGAAAGCTGCCATCAAGTTACAGGTTGGGCATACTTGGCTGCATAGGTTTAACCTGAAGAGAGACAGGAGGGGAGAAGAGCTGACAGCATGACGACTAGTGAAAGGCATTTAGGAGCTGCTGTTGTAGATCCTTGGGTTTAGTTTGCGTGCAATTCTTTTCTCCACACTGTCAGATGCCAGAGGATTTCTTACTCTGGTGTAGATTAGAAATGTGCGCCCGCCTCCCCCCCCCATCCTGTCCTGTCCTGCCACTGTAAGTGTTAATGAAGGTTAGGGGAAACCTGGATGATTTGAGGTGTTTACATTGATGTGCTTCCACTGCCTCAGTGTCCATCAATAAAGTAGTTGAATGTTTCTTTACCTTCTTTTCTGCTGTTTGGGCCATTATTAGTTTATCAAGACATTTTAAAATACACTTTTTGTTTTTGTAATGGAAAGTTTGAGCTGGTCCTGGATCTTGTGGTATTTTTGCACTACAGAAACTCATTCTAAGAGTATGCTTTAGGATTCATTCTTTCATTCTCTTTCTCTCTCTCTCTCTCGCTCTCGCTTTTTCTTTCACTCTAATTGTATACTATTTTTCCTGTAATATTATTGTTGCTTGTGTTGCTTCTGACAACTTTGCATGTTCTGAAAAAATAAATAATCACAATGTCCTTATAAGGCAAGAACTTAAGGTTAGCTTATAAGGTTAGCTTAAGGTAAGCAAGAACTTAAGGTTAGCTTATAAGGTTAGCTTATACATATTGCATCTCTTGTCTCTGGCCAGTGACAGCAGGTGTACTGAAAGAAAATTAAAAATGAGAACCGTTGCAACCTCTTTTCTTTTTGTCATTGCAGGTGGCGACAGACAAGGTTGCGGGAAAGCTGAGCTCTACTCTCTCATGGGTGAAGAACACTGTATCACACACTGTCAGTCAAATGGCCAGTCAGGTGGCAAGTCCATCTGCCTCATTACACACTACATCCTCCTCTACCACTCTGTCCACACCAGCATTATCGCCATCCTCACCAACACAACTGAGTCCAGATGACTTAGAATTACTGGCTAAACTTGAAGAACAGAACAGGTAAATGGAAAACTTGCTGGTCCTGAACCATAGAAATGAGACTAAAATTGTTTTATTGCAGTTTCAGCATACAGACTTCATGGCACAGCGTTTTTTATTATTTTCAAGGCCCCTGGGCATAAGGAATTGTGTGTTCCCGAGCTATGTTTTTAAGAGTACTGGTTTTGTGGAACTCTAAAAAATATTCTTCTCCTCTGGCTTTACAGGAGCGCTTATATCTGCCTCTTATCCTAAGAGTTTACACTGGAACCCGTGAACTTTAATATCCAATTTGAAATGAAATATCTCAGGAATGAGACTTTCATATAACCTCATCACCTTTTTAGGTCATCACGATAACTTTTTTTTATCAGCTCTTTGAAAAGCTGAGGATTTCCAAATTCCAGATTGTCTTGTTTGTTCCGCTTTTTCCCTGTTCTTGCTTTTGCTTTCTACTACATGTTCTGGTCACTTCATGAGCCTTTTAGCGTATCAGCTATTTCCTAATGACAGCATAGGTTCGGCACATTTTCTAGCTGGAGGTGTTAGAAAGGTAGAAGTTGCTATCTTTCAGTACTTGTAAAACTTAAGGGCTCAAGCAGAGCCTTCTGTTTGAGCCCTTCTGTTTGTATTCTGTAATTTAGACTGTGAATCAGGCTATTTAGTAGAGATATAGCTAATTAAGCAGACTTCTCGGCTTCTCTTATGTCCAATGCCTGGACGCAGTCTTACGCTTGGAGATGGGCCAGCGTTCACCCATCTACATTTGCAAGAATTAATAGATGCTTCCCACTGTTAACACTAGTGGTGACAGATGGCATAACGTCTTCATTTCATGACAAGGAATTCCCTTATCAGACTTCTTACTTTTAGTGTTTTGGTGTAGTAGGCAACAATTCTTTTGACAGCCATTCCACGCTTGCATATTTATCTGCACCATCTACAGATAGTAAGACCTAACTTTCCATGGATCACGTGCTCTTGGACAGTGACTTCACGTTGGCCTCAACCTTTGACTTCTTGTAATATTTGGTTATATTTGAAAGGTATGTTTTAGTAGCTCATCAGAGAACAACTTTAAAGGAGAATTTGAGCTCCAAATAGCTTTTAAACTTAAGAGATAGCTGTAGATACCTTCTGTTGAGGATTGCTATCTGTCCTGCAGCGGTGACGTGCAGCATTTGACAGGTTAGCTCAAAGCAGATTCCGCTCTAGCTTATGAGCAAACTTGCTGGACTTTGCACTGAGGCAGCTGAGGAGTACTCATGTTTTGTTTTGTTTGGTTCAGTTGCGAGGGTGGTAACCTCTGGTAGAGGAAAAGAGTAAGTGGGAGGAGGGGCTGAAGCCACTGTCTGCTGGCTTGTCTTCTCTCCTGTTCATACCTGCTGCCCAGTAGCAGTGCAGCTTGCTGGGAATTTGTGATATCTGTCTAGTACTTGACTGAGAATGGAAGGCAGCTGCTAGAACCACGTCATCCTCTTTCCTCGTGGTTTATGGGATTGTCTCTTTGAAGATGTACTATCTGTAGCTTTCCCTGTGTTAGTAGTGAAAGAGAATTTATCAAAAGAAGGAAAAAAAAATTGTGTTAAATGCAGGTCTAAGAAAGCTAGAGTTTTCAATTAATCAGAGACTTTCAGCTGTGTTAAAGGCCAAGTGACTAACATGTAGTTGAAAAGCAGTAGTGTCTGTTCTCTGGACTGCATAGCTCTTTTAGGCTATAATTTCTTTACATCCAGAGTTGTCATCTTAAGCTCTGCAGTTAGACCAGTTTGCTTGTTGAAAGCAGTATAGGAGCTTGGGCTTGCTAGCCTGCCTTTTCCAAGCTGTCTGTCTTCATTTAGTAAATAAGTTTGTTAGGATTTTTTTTTTAACTGATTTTAGCCAGACCTTTCATTTAACCCCACTTTATTTAGTCTTTTTTGTTGTGTGTGAACTCTCATCAGAAGCTTTTCTGTCAGGTAGTTCACACCAAGTGTACCTTTTCTCACGAGATGCTATTCTTTCAGATAGAAATTTGATGCTGTTATCGCGCAGGGTGCAGTGTAGTTTCAGAGCAGTCTGAATCTGCATTTTACCACTGTGGCTCTTTGTTGACGAGGAATTGTACTCTGGACACAGGGAAGTACTCTTGTTTCTGCTTGCCAGAAGAATTACCAGTGATGGGTGTTTTTAAAGGTTTCCTTTTCATTGTTGGCTTTTATATGAATAAGGAGAATATGATTTAGTTAAGACTAGAAACTCAGTTTTCATCAGACTATGTCCTGAGGTATTCTGTAATCCAGTTTTACGAAAGTCCCCTAAGTATACTGAGGTAGTTCAGTCCAGAGTCCTGATGGAGCTGTTTGGCATTAGTAAATCATTTATAAAGTTTTAGATGAAAGAAAGCAGTCACTAAACACCACAGAACTCGCATACTTCTCACTGTATTAAGAACTTCTCGTTAACAAATCTAAGGACAATGAGTTTATCCAGGTAAGATCAAATTACAGAAATTTATCCTAACTTTTATAGAAGCCTGTGAAACTAAAAGTGACTAGTCAGAACCTTGTTTTTATGATCTTGAAATGTTTTTTCTGTGCTTGTTTTTCTCTGACTACTTTGAATTCGATCTCTTGACGCAGGCACAGATTGAGGAAAGCAAATTCTTATCATGGATTGGTATAGGCCAGGTTTATAAACATTAAAAAGGTGTTTTTGAGTTCTTTTCCTCAAATTAAATTTTCTGTGTTCCCTTAATAGGAACTAAATTAAAGTTACTCCCTTGAAAAAGTTTGATATCGAAAAGCTACTATTGTTAACCTTTTTTTATAATTTTTTAAACGTGAAAATAATTTTGCAGAGATAGTGCTTGTTTTTAATGGATCTAATTACTCTTGTTTTATTTCTTAACTTCCTAAATACCAATAGGTGAAAGCTGGAACATGAAAGGTGAAGTAAGCTCTCAGCTAAGGCAGATTTTAAAAAAAAAAAAAAAAAAAAAAAAGAATTGTGCTCTGAATTTACGAGGCTCAATATTAGTTGAGGATTACCAGGCCTTTTTGCCCAGAATGCCCATGGCTCTCCAGCTCCTTGCAGAACTGATGGCCCTGGCAGGCAGCTGACAGGGAAATCTTACGTGCTGCTCCTCACTTCCACAGTAGGAGCAACACTGAAGCTGTGCCTCCCCTGCAGGAGGCAGCACAGGTCAGTGCCCAGAGGTCATGGCAGCAACTTGTCCAGGACTTGGCTCATCTTTGTGTACCCCACTCTGATACCCCAAAAGTTCTCATGCATCAAGTCTAGGCTTTAATTACCCATTAATTTGCTATAGTAATCACTCTTACTTGATTCCCTGTTCTTTAGGTCAGATACTTTTCATGTGTTTGTAAAACATTGTGTTGGTTCATGAATAATTATTGTCAAGTGTTGTCAACAAACTTCAGCTGTTCTAAAATGGCTTTAGGTTTTAATTTTTCTGACCATAATTACATTGTGCTTAATGTTATGAACGTGTAACCGAGTAGGTGATTAACAGACTACTTTTCTCTTTCTTTTCTTTAAAATTAGTCTGCTTTCTAGTACTTTGACAGTTGACGCTATCATCGAGGATATTTCTCTTCCTTGTGTTCTTTTCTTTGTCAGAGTCTAGTGCATAAAAACTGTATTTTTGTTGTCGTTGTTGCAAGTAAAATTGAAGCCTTTTTCTTGGCGTTTTATGCCTCAAACCTCCCCCCCCCCAAAAAAAAAAAAAAACCCACTTACCTGTCTTCCCAATGGGGCTATTAATCTCCAGTTGATGAGCTTATGGGAAAGGAGTTGGACTGACAGTCTTTTGGTACATTCTCTAATGTGTGTTTTTTTTTTTTACTTACTAAAATCTAGTTCATGAGATCAGAAAACGCTTATTAAAATCTCACTTCTCTTACAGTGTTGTTGATGCGTGATGTGACCTTTTTTCCAGTTGTTAAAAGGCTACAGTGTGAACTGTTCTTATCTGCAGAATGTTTTGAGAGCTTAAGGAGAAATAAAAACATTGGGCAATTCTTTTCAGCTTCAGTACAACTGAATGTTGGAAAAACTCTTCCACTGAACGTTTGGGTGCGTTCTATGTAAAGAGGTCGGAAGAATTGACTTATAAACAAACAATAATGCGATCCTGTGATTAGAGAAACTTGTAATTGTTTTCCTGTGCTTTGCAGACTCTTGGAGACTGATAGCAAATCCTTGCGATCAGTAAACGGCTCAAGAAGAAATAGTGGATCTTCTCTTGTATCTAGTTCATCAGCTTCTAGCAATCTCAGCCATCTTGAAGAAGACTCATGGATCCTGTGGGGGAGGATTGTAAATGAATGGGAAGATGTACGGAAAAAGAAAGAAAAGCAAGTTAAGGTAGAAGTCAGAGACACTCTGTAGGATACCCTTGTAATATGGTATAAGTGATACTGTTTTATCTTCCTGAGGACTTATTTTTTGGTACAACTATGTAACAGAAGCTTCCGATTGAATCTGCTTCCATCCCTAAGCCTTAGTGCTGCCTATGTAAGTGTTACCAGACTTCTCAGTTTTGTGCAGCAAATGCCTCCTCTTCTAGAAAACTAGATGCCTTTACTGTATTTGGAATACCTAAGCTTTCAGCCATTTTGAAAATGGATTTAAGGGCATGTAACAGCTTGATCCTTGTGTATAAGGAAGCTGTGACTGTTTTCCCCACTGTCTTTTTAAAGTACTCTCTTTCGAAGAGCTAATAATTATACTGTGTGACGCTCTGACATGAGTTTAGTTTCTTTGTGCATGTCTAGCATGTTGACCCCGGGGATGATAGTAGATAGTAGAAGAACATGTAGCCTCTGAATTCTGATGTAGATTAGACAAACTTGGACCAGTTTGTCCAGTCTGGGTCAGTTGTGGGCATGTACAGAAATAGATTTCAACTATATTTTAAATCCAGACCAAAAAGTATCTAGGTCATTTGAATATATCCATCTTTCGGAGGCTGTTAACTGCAAAATGTGGGCTTTTGTTCATAGGCAAGCTTGTTCTGCGTTGGTTCTTTATTGGCACTAGTCTGTAGTTATTTTATGTGCGGAATACAAATTTCAAGGTCTTTTGAGCAGTTCGAAGAGAGTGCGAATAGGTTGTGGGAAGGCAGAGCAATAGGATAAAATAAAGTGTCTTTTATGTGAAGCAGTTGTGGAGAGAGAACATGACTTGGGAGAGGAAAGAAGGGGAAGAAAATGAATTAGACTTTCCTCTTGCTCAGTGAAAACAGTTTATGGAAAGGTGTTTCCAAAAGCCTATGAAAAGAAAGCCATATGAACCTGGCAAGAGAAAGCAAAAGTGAGGGTAATAAACAGAGCTGGTTGGATAGAATTTGGTATTGGAACTGCCTGCATTTGGATTTTTTTAAGCTTTAGTGTTTGAACTCATTTTTGTAATTGGACAAGTATAATTTGGTGAGTATTTGACTAACGTTCAGTAAATATTTAAATACATTACTAGTGAGCTTTCCTTTGCTGTTTAAGTTGACTTCCGACAAAACAAAATTATTTAAACTTTGTCATTCTGCATTTACAATAGAATACCAGAACATCCCAGTTGTGCCAGTAGATAAGACTTTAGCTGCAGAAGTTTTTTTTTTGACTTGGCTGCAAAGGCTGGCCTTAAGCTATTAGCTATCTATCTGTTAAGTTTTTGAAGTTCTAGATGTAGGTATGTATAAGCTTGTGGTACCTCCTATATGCAGGCAGGTGAACTAACGTATGTTCCATCCTTGTCTGTTTGATCCACTTCAAAACTCTGCTTATGTTTATAGAGAGGTTCTGAAAGATGACCTCAGAAGTTCTGCTTTTCAATGTCCCTAATACTGTGTAAAATAACATCATTGTAGTGCTGCTTAGTAGGTGCATTTTCCTGGGGTACTCCTGCTGTTCCTTTAGAAATGTTGGAGAGGTTAACCCTGTTATTTCATCAAGCAGGTACATGGTAACTTAAGGTAAGAAACCACTTGCTAGTACTTCATTATCAGTAGTCCTTGAGGTTTAGTTGACTGCTCTGATCTGCAGTATGATAGCACATTGTTGACAAATGATATCTAGAGACAGATGTAGAAAGCTGGTGTGTTACAGCTACTATCTTGGAGTTAAAAATATTTCAGGGTGTTATAGTTAAGTAGTAGACTGGGTAAATGTTTGGAGTGCTCTTAGGTTACTAAGATGGTCCTGAAGAAGGCTGGAGGTCTTAGGGCTATTAGAAAGTTGAGCTCAGTGCTGCAGAGGTGCAAAACTCCAGTGGTGGAGTTCAGGCTTGGCATTAGAGAGGCTTCTGCTTTTGTGTTTACTTTTTGTTGTTATCACAGTTTGAATTAACTAATCATTCTATCTCAGTATCTTCTAATATTTAGAGAGAGAAACAGGAAAAAGAGAGGATGTTTTATAGAAGACAGGACTGCTCTGATTTCAGAATAAATACTGGCAAAATAAAACAAAAACAACAAAAAACAGCAGAGATAATACTTGATAACAATTCTTATTATTAAGATACATAAACATTATATAAGTATTCTCTTCAAATTCCTCTTGTCTTGAAGAGAAAATCTTCTAGGTCAGACTGATCCTAGTTGCAGAAAGCAACTAAGGTAATCTGAAAACTTCTAACTTTCTTCCCTACCTCCCTCAATTTCTAGATCAAGCAACTAGACTGCTTTCTACTTATGCTTTCTGAAAAGACAAGTACCAAGTTGATACATACCTAGTTATCAGGGCCTCTGGAATCTGGTACTTAGAGCTATTTGGGAAGGCTTAGATTGTATAATATCTATCTGGTCCCCCCCCGCCTTAGTATTTAATGTAAATAAAGTTAATTCAGGAGATATACACGTGATATTTTCTTGGTAGTGTCTGAAATATTTTAATACTTAAAAGAGAACTTGGAAATACTGGCACACGAGAGAAATTAGGCAAAATTTGTTAAGTTTGTCAAATTACTTTTCACAGTAGTGCTGTGCGGTTGTCTTGCTGCAGTTGGTTACCTTTTTATCATTTGCTTGTCTTAAATTGTTTTCAGCCAGTTGGTTTCTTACATCTTAATCACAGACTACAAATACAATTGAGGGTATTTTCTCTAATCCTTCATGAAATATAAAAACTCTATTGGATTCTGGCCCATGGGAGTAGAGTTGTGTAAAACACTACTTGACTACTCAGTTTTTTAAAGTAGCTTATTATGAATAAGAAACTGCTTTCCCTAGCCATTTATCCACCAAAAATGACTTTGACACTCTTACTTTTGTTAGCTGCCAGTAATCTATCAGGCTAAGGTGAGGTTAATACGTTGTGAGCTGCGTAATTGATTTGACATGAGGTAAACTTTTTCCTAAGTCATGAGGAACTTCATTTATTGAAGTGTTTTGTTTAAAAGCTGTTCAGTCCGCTTGTGTGTTTATAGGAAACATTGATTTTTTTTTTGCCCTTTTTTCCTTGTGTTTTAGGAGCTTGTTCGAAAAGGGATACCTCATCATTTCAGAGCAATTGTTTGGCAACTCTTATGCAGTGCTCAAAGCATGCCGATTAAGGATCAGTATTCAGAGCTGTTGAAAATGACCTCTCCTTGTGAGAAACTAATAAGAAGGGACATTGCTAGAACATACCCTGAACATGATTTTTTTAAAGAAAAAGACAGCCTTGGACAGGAGGTTTTATTTAATGTAATGAAGGTAAGTCAGTGTCTTGTGGTCCTTGAAAATATATTAGCAAGAATGTTAGCAGCAGAGATTTGTAAAATAATTTGCCTTTATGTATCTTGAACTTGCATCGGTTTCAAGTGTTCAAGGTTATTAAACTCGTTCCACTTGACACTAAAATGCTCTACCAAATCATATTCCATTTTTAAAGATGGCTTTCAAATACTGTATTCCTATAGCTAATAGTAATTAAATGTTTTAAACCTCTTAAAAAAGAAATCATTAATAAGTTTGTCTTGAAACAGGATCACATGCTAGCTGCTGACAGTCTAATGGAATACAGTGTGCCGTAAAGTGAAGTAAACCATGTTATTAGAGTTGACCAAGACAAGAATGTTGTAAATCAGAACTAGCATTCAGTTTTCAAGCATTTCCAAACCTGCATGTGGTAGCATAAAATGGCATGTACAAGCTAATGTGCAGTTGTTACGATGCCCAAGTGCAAAATGAGAATGCCACCATGAAATTGACTTTTTTTTTCCCTTTTATTGCCTCCACTGTACCAAAGTTTAAATTTAGAAAGACGGACTTTTTCCATACCACATACTTTCAACAGAAAAGTTGACAGGATTCCAAATCATAGTAACTCCCACGCCTCTAAAAAGGAAGAAGCAGCATGCATGGGGGCAAGCGTTTCCTTCAGCTGGGAATAAAACCTGGAATTGTTCTGAGAAGGACTGTTTCATTGTTGGGGCTCTGTCTCCTGGCTGTTAGAGTTGAGGTTGGATAGAGAAGTATCCTGCTGCACAGTTTATATGCCACCTGTCTGTGGTGTCTTTTTAGACTTGGCAAACTCCTCTAGCATGCATGTTTTTCAGGTGTGTCTTAGTTCTTACTTTGTAGGCCATCAGAGTGAAGTTTATATCCCTTTGTAGCAGCAGGTAGCAACCAGAATATCTTACTAAACAAATTTCTGAATAGGACTTCTGTTTTCTCTTGATTTGGGAGGGAAGACCAAGCTATTGAAAACTGAGCTATTAGTAAAACCAGAGCAGGAGCTATGATTTTGTTTTGTTACTCATGATGTTTTAATTGTTCAGAGTCTTAAATTTCTATTTCCTAGGCTTATTCTTTAGTGGATCGTGAGGTTGGATACTGTCAAGGAAGTGCTTTTATAGTGGGATTACTGCTTATGCAGGTAAACATATTATAAAAAAATGCGAACTTTTAAATCACTATTAGAATGCATAACAGTGTGGAGATTTTTGTGATGGGAATTTTCATAATAGCTTTTTAATCACTTGTTACAATGGAGTTGTCAAGGGTAATCAGCTACTCCATGAATCAAAGTAGTTTTATTCTCTGCTTCTGTCTTTGCCAAGAAGATACAACTTTTCTGAGTGGGAGAATATATTTATTTCTCAGAGCTAACATAGGACTGTAAACCTGAAAGTTATTTTGGGGGAAACTTTTTAGCTCTTAATGAACTCATTTCAGATTTGACATTTAACTGCCTCGTAGTTCAAATGAAACTTCACAGTTTACTTGATAATCTTAAGGCTGCCTTTATTTTTCTGCCTTTGTTTTATGCCCAAGTAGGTTATAATATAACAAATTTGCAGAACCGCATTTTGGTTTAGAAATCACTTTGCAGGATTCAGTATATGCAAAAGTTCATTATAGTAAGTAGTTATAAATCCCTTAAATGAAAAGAAGAAACCTCACAACCTCTCACTTTGATATAGCTTTACATTTGTCCAGCGTTTTCACTGTGTTTTATTAATTTTTAATATAGATGCCAGAAGAAGAGGCATTTTGTGTGTTTGTTAAATTAATGCAAGATTACAGGCTACGAGAACTGTTTAAACCGAGCATGGCTGAGTTGGGCCTTTGTATGTACCAGTTTGAATGCATGATACAAGTATGTACAAAATCTATTAATTTTTCTCTTTATTAATAAGGAACAATGGGAGTTACAATTCGAGAGTAGGCATGTCTGTTGGCTGATAGGCTGTTCTCTGACAGCAGCTAGTTTCAGGACTTGAAGTGGATGCATGTGGCTGTATGATCTACTTTTTAACCTTTGTCAGACAGTGACTGGCTTTAAACACTGAAATGCGAGGATTTGTATTGTCACACTTTAAGCATATGAATGTCTAATCCTTTCTGGGTCCAAGACTCTAAAAGTATGCAACTTGTAGCCTTTTTTTAAAATATAACTTAGAAGGTGCCATCATACACGTAATTCAGCTGCTCCCAGATTTGGGTTATGGAAGACTGGCTGCTGGCTCAGAATGACAGAGACAAGGGGGTTTGGGTTTTGTTGTCTCCCTCTTTCCTTCCCCTAGGAAGTGATCCTGTTGCTAGAGATGATAACTGGGGAGTTTACATAACATACTCTGCTAAGAGGTAGGACTGGCGAAACCCTAGGTCTCTCCAGCTGTGTCTCTGTAGCCATTCTAGATGTCACCTACAGAACTGGAAGCCTCTGATTTGCTAGTAGGGTCAGGAAGTGCTTTCAGTAACCTGAGCTGTGCAGGGTAGAAATGCTGTATTCTCTACTGAACCTCTCTTACCTGGTTGGTTGTAATGATGAACGTGTGTCTTCTAATGCTGTGTTATGAAGCTGTTGCCTGATTCATCTGTACCAAATATTGCTATTTTTTTTCCAGCTTTGTCAAAACCACACGCAATAAAACTACCAGCAGAATCTTAACATGTTGGTTTTTTCCTTATCCTCTTTCCAGGAGCAGCTTGCAGAGCTTTATGTGCACTTTCAGTCTCAGAGTTTCCACACTTCTATGTATGCATCATCATGGTTTTTAACTATATTTCTTACAACTTTTCCACTACCAATTGCAACAAGAATATTTGATATCTTTATGTCTGAGGTAACTACTCAATACTCATATGTTCCATTTTAAGAATAGCTGTTAAAAAGCAGTTGTTTAGGTAGTGGTATAAATTCCATTCAGATGGGCAAATCTTGCAAATATTCTTGCTTTTTGGTCCTTATGCTTATTAGATTATTTTCATGGGGGAAGATATCTGTGTAATATCCTATCAAGGAAGAGCAAATACATCTGTGAATGTATATCTTGTATATGTAACTTTGTACGTAAGCGCATCGAAGAGTTATATCTACTGCATGTTCTGGATGCAACAGCAATAGCGTTTTTATAAGATTAGAACATCAGTTTCTCAATAAGGTGGTGAGTCTAGGATGGAAAGAATTGCTGCTTTCAAGCCAAAGTTAAAGCTCTGTGAGGATATACAGAACAGGAGGAAGCAGTGCTGGAAATTCTGCAGAGCTACAGAGCTATTGTCCAGAAGACAAACAGTAGCCGAGCAAATGCATGTATGTATTCAGTGGCATTATCAAAATGACACCTGAGGCATGAATTAGAGCTTCAAAGGACTGTAGTAGTTGTTGTTTTTTCTTTTTTTAAACTCCTCTACAATCATCTTTTAGAAAACAGTAAGTTAAAGGTGCATCCTTTCAGCTTGCATGCAAATGTTCAAGATAGTATACATGAGTCAAGCGTTTCCTTGTATCGATTTAAGTAGTTTAACTGTAGTATAACATCTCTGAAATTAAAATGCCTTTTTTGAGAAGTACCTTTTTTTTTGTAGCAGATACCTAAGAACAGACAAACAAAAACTTTAGATTAAAGCTGATGTAAAGAACACCTATAGCTCAAGAGATTTTTTTACCTCAGCTTCTGCCTCTGAGGAGGGTTTGACATCTGTTTTGTCGCTCAGCCTGACTACTACTACTTAGGGCAAAGTAAGGAACCCAAGACCAATCTGCAGATTTTCATAAGGTTTTTTTTGCTTGTTTGGGCAAGTGGGTGAGCTCTCAAACAGTAGTAAATATTAGACTCACTGTTCTGTACAGTTGACGATGCCATAAATAATTGCTGGCTATTTTTTACACTTTTTTCAGGGTTTAGAGATAGTATTTCGAGTAGGTTTAGCAGTTCTTCAGATGAACCAAGCAGAGTTACTGCAACTTGACATGGAAGGAATGTTACAGGTAAATTAAGGTTACAATAATCATAATAATGTCTAAAATATATGTGAAGCACATAAGTATATGTGTTTCTTTGCAGCTATTAATTATATGTAATCTTGTGCTCTGATTGCTTTTAGCACTTTCAAAAGGTCATTCCACATCAGTTTGACAGTGGTCCAGACAAATTAATCCAAGCATCTTACCAAGTCAAATACAATGCAAAAAAGATGAAAAAGTAGGTATAACATTTTGAGAAAATAGATTATACTGTTGCCAAGAGTTGATCTTTGCTTGTGTATCTTAAACTAGTTATTCAATATTTTAGTGTGAGTTTTCCTTGTTGAATTTTTCTGGGTTTTTATACTGTAAACAGTTAAAATTGATGTTTTATCATCCAGATAATTCTTCTAAATTGGTATTTGCTTTTTCCAAAATATAATAAAACTGTCTTGTGTATTAAAATAACTCTACAAGTGCTTTTGAAGAAAGCTGCAAGTTATTAAAAATTACAAAACTTTTGTAAACAGGAGTTGAATAGAGCCAGCAGACTTTTGTGAGGGCAAATTAGGGAAAGGAGGTTAAATTTTTACTGTGATCTGTCCTCACTTCTTAAAACTTACCTTTTCAGGAACTAGAGAACTATTCACACAGTGCTAGAGAGTATATGTGATCAGGATGAGGTCTGGTTAAAAAATAAATTGACAAATTTTTGTCATGCCATTGAGAACTGTGGTGGTGGGGAATTACCTGTACTCCTACTCTCTTCTGCCTTCTGTAAATATTTATTTTGCTAAGCCAAGCTGCATACCTTGCCTTTTTTCCAGGCTTAAGTTTGGCATTTCCTCCATTCTTAAGCTGGGCCCTTGGCTGTAGTACGCAGTATATTCAGTGTACTTGTGCTGCAGGTTGTGCTCGGCCCTTGCAGGTTCAATTTACCCATCCTTCTATCGGCAACCTGTGACTGATGCTGCACAATGAGCAGTTAGTCTTCTCTAAAACAGAAGTAGTAACAAAGTTTTTGGGGAAAACGCGTTCTCTGACAGCCAGTATAAACGCGTATAGTTTAAAACCCTACCGTTCTCTGAGTCTAAACGCATCTACCTTGCTTGCTCACCTTCTATAAAGGCCTTGTATACCTCAACTTGCATTTCTTGTGTGGTTGCTACCCTTTCCATTAGAGGCAGCTTTGTTGTTTGCTGAAAAAGGGCAAAAATTGTGCGGGTGTTTTTGTTTTGTTTTTCTGGGTTTAAGTTTTTTTGTCTTCAACTTCTCTTTGCGTTCTCTTGTTATCCAAGCTCCATTTTCCTTTGGCTGAATATGGTGGGTTGGTTATTATATAGTTACATTCACTTGTTGTTGCAAAGTAGCTCCAGATCATCTGACGTGCAAAGGTGTATGTTATCAGGACTACACAAGCAGGCACCTGCACTTCAGAGTGCTGATTTAGAGTCTGTTCGTATCTGCAGAGGTCTTTTTTCTAGCGTTTAAATTAGTTTTCATGTCCAGTCAAAATATTTACAGGAGGAGTACACTGGCAACTCTCAAGTGGTTGGTTAAACAGAGGAAATATCAATGATTTGTATCTCTTTTATTTTTTTCTGCTGTTGTATGTTAGGCATTACCCCAACAAATACGTTGCCTGAATTTTTCTAATCATCACTTACTCTTTTCTAATTTTTAGGTTAGAAAAGGAATACACTACAATAAAAACAAAAGAAATGGAAGAACAAGTGGAAATTAAAGTAAGGCTTTAGACTCAACAAATCTCTTCCTGGAGCAATTTAATTCCTAGCTGTGGGTTACTTGTTTGATCTATGTCTGCAGTGGGATTTGTTATAATTGTAGTCCCAAAATCTCCTTTCAGCATTTGTATTTGGACTGTCTGTTCATAAAGGACACTTATAGTGGAATTATTGAGGATTCTGGTGGGCACAATTAATGAAAGATCACTGGTAGAGACCTGCTGTACTTACAAATGTTTGTTATTTTCTGCTGACTAAGGCTTGATTACAGACAGCCTCTTTCAGAGGTTCCCAATATGCTGTTTCATATGTAGGCATCCCACCTGGGAGGCTTTGGAAAGCATATTAAAGGAGAGCTTAATACAATGAAGTCATGGGAATGATTTATCATTGATTTTTGGAGATTTTTCTTGATTTGTTTTCTTTCATGCATTGGACCAAGGTTAAATGTCTTCTGTCAGCAGTTGTTTTGTTTCTTTTGGATCTTCTACAATTGATACGTAATGTGATAAAGACCTGTGAGTTAAGCTGTTTTGAAAAGTTATTTCCCTTTTACTAACTAACCTACTTTCTGTCTTTACTAATTACGGCATCTTTTTACTTTCATGATACAAATAGGCTTTTGCCCCCCAACCCCTTTTTCACTTTTTTTTTCCTTCCCCCAGCACAGTGTTTGAGCTGGATTTGCTCCCTTCTTGTATCATGTTTTTCAGTCGGTACCAAGAGCGAAGGCAGGGGAAACGTGAGGCAGGAGTGTGCTGTGCAAAGCTTAGTAGAAGGAGTCTGAGTTGCACCCTTCCTTCTTCCTTTCCCCTTCTAGTTGTTTTGCCTTCCAATATCATATTCTAAGGTATTAATTCTTCAGAAAAATTTCAGTGATGTACATCTGGGAGCACAAAGGTGTTCCAAGCCTTTTCCAGCAATTTTTGTTATCCCTACAACAGCAAGACAGTCAGTGGCAGCATCAGGGAGTGCTGTGATGGCTTTTCAGATTAGATTTGCAGGTCTTAAAGGCCAGGCCTATGCAAAATAGGGGGGACTAATGCCCTTAAGACAGCTGTAACTTTCAGTCTGAGGAAATTAACTGATGATTGAAATTCTTCCCTGCTTCTCGACCACCTTTTCCCTGCCCTGCCTTACAAAAATACAACGAACCACCACCCCACCCCCCAACCCCAGCAACCCAAAGCAGAATATTTACTATCTGTTTCTTTATCCTGTTTTGGGAAAGGGAGTCCAGAGGGTTCAAACTTAGGTGTATAAGATTCGGCTAACTTTGGTGATTTTTATTTAAAAAAAAAAAAAATTGACTGACTCTCTAGGTACTAAAAAGCTCTTGTATTTTATGGAGATGAAAAACAAGCACATTGAGCGTGCCTCTTACCCTGGCAGAATAAAGCACTGCTGAACTAATATCCGTGTGTCTATTCTTATGGATACAGATCTTCTCTACTTGAATACTGACTGCTGAAATTTATAGAAAATGCATTAATAAAATGTGCTTTATGCTAATGACTAACTAAATGTGCTTTATGCTAATGACTAACATAAAATGACTAACTGCTCATTGGGGCAGGTGAAGTAAATAATTCTCAGTATAACTTCTTGCAGATGAAATAAATGTGATTATGTAATTTAATGTAACAAAGTATACATATAAGTCCCACTGCACTAGGAGGCGCTAATGGAAGGGAGAGCGCTTTCATGTCCCTTAACCATGAGGGCTGCCTCCAGTTCTGTTTATGAAGAGGCGACTGTCAAGCTTAAAATGGTGTTATGGGGTTAAGCTCTGCGGTTCACCTGTGCACATACTGTTTCCATCTAACACACAGACTTAATATCTTATCCTTGCTATACCAAACTGTTTACAACTCATCTTTTGAGTTAGTACATCATAAGAAGGATGTTAAAAAGGTTGTCACAAATTATTTTGTCTTATTTTGATTTTTCATAAGTGATAACGATTCTAGATTGTTAACATAGCTTTTATCAGACTTTCATTTCATAATTTAAGAAGCAATTCTGAATTGTTCCCTTGGTTCCCTTGCAGAGGTTACGAACTGAAAATAGACTCTTGAAACAGCGCATTGAAACATTAGAAAAAGTAAGTATGTTGGCGCCTAGATTTAATTTGTGCTACTTTATAATAAAATTGCTATCAATTTAAGTATATGAAATGGGAATCTTGTAACTATAGCTCATTAGGTTTTTTCCTGCTAATCCACAGTATTTACTAACAGTGCTTTGCCAAACAGCATGGCAGTAACAGCATAGCAATTAAGGTCACTGCTTATAAATGTTTAAATCTCTTATGCATGGATCTTACTGAGTGTATGAAGCTGAATATTTTGACATATGCCAACTTTTGCTATACTGTTTTTTGGAGGGGGGATAGTTTTTGTTTGCTTGTTTTAAGAATTAGAAGGGTGTCTAAAATACAAACTACTATATGAAATAGTGGGGTTCTTGGGTAGAAAAGAGGCTATTGTGAGAGAAGCCTCGCTTCTGGAAATCTGAAGTTTATAGGTAGTTTTATGTAAGAGCAGTCTGAAGGACCTACCAGTGACCAGAGAAGCGGAGATGAAAGCAGGTTAATTCACCACTAATTAATACAACAGTCGAGGGCTGTTGCAGTATTCGCGTTCTGTATAGGAAGTCTGCTGCCTTTACTTTGTCTTGCACGGTTCTGTGTTCTCCTAGAAATTGGGATATGAGGGAGGGAAGGGAAAACTTAAGTTATTTTTTCACAAAGTTTAGTCTGGCATAGAGTTTTGTTAGGCTTCCTTGTAACTGGATATCAGTTTCAAAATATGCCTGCTAACTGTTGTTACGTTGCCAACATGCTGGCATTGCTCTCTGGCCCTTCCTCCTATATTCGGATCCCATACTTCTGTGGCAGACTGCGTTTGGTCTAGAATGAAAACATTCTTGTCTGTCTTATCTGGGCGTGTTTAACTGTCTTTGTCCACATTAAATTAAACACTTGTGAGTTGCGAACAGTTGTTCGTGCCTCGTGGGGAGGGAAAGGGCAGAGATTCAATTTCCAGTGACATAACTGAAAGGTGTAACGTTTCGGATAATAAATCCGTTAGTTTCTTGGAGAAACTGTCAAACTATGTCAAATTCTAATTAATTGCAATTTCTGAATGTCTGTTTGGAAGAAAGCATGTGATGAGGACACCTTGAGAAACAAAGATGTGAACAGATAAAGTTTTATAAACATCTTCATGTTTCAAATATTAAAGTGTTAGTAAAATTAATTATAAAGAACAGGCTGGTTTTAAGAAGTTTAAGGCTGTTTGGAGTGAATCATTTCAGTAATTTAATGGCAATTTTATAATAGTAAATATCCATGTCTTAACTTGTAGAGAAGTGTTTGGGTTTTCTTGTTGTTTTTTGGTTTTTTTCTTTATCGAGACATCAGTCATAAACTGCTAGACACTGCTGCTTTTGCAAATTCTGTACTTAAATTTCAGAATGCATTTTCAGAGTATCCCAGTCTCACTGGTTGGAATTAGAACACTTCAGAATCAGATAAATATTATCTATTAATGAGAATTTCTGGATGACATTATTACAGCAGCTGAAGAACAGATCATAAAGTGTGAACAAAAGCATTTAGTTCTTCTATTAAAAAACTGTATTTTTCTTTCCGAATAACTCCTCATCTTAACATATGATTTAGTTGTGATTTCCTTAGTGTGTCTTGATGATGAACTTCTTACCTTAGCCTCTCCATCTAATTAATAGTTCTTATCAACCAGTTTGAACTTTAATTTTAATAGCAATTCCAAGGACAAAGATGGCTTAGCTGTCCGCAGAGATGTGTTCTCTATCATAGAGTCTGCAGAAATCTATTGCTGCACCTATTGTGACAGGATGGAAGTGAGACTTTCATTAAATGTCCTGTGCAGAATTTCAGGGAAACTGGAAGGAAAGAGAATATATGATCTCTTGATGGAGTTACTGCTAGAATTTAGTAAAGCAAAATATTAGCCCTCATAGTTGAAATTTTCTACTTTTCATGGCTGTTGGTTTGCACCATCTAACTTTCTTGCTTTATCTTTTTCAAAGCTTTAGTCCTGCATGGGTGCCTCTGCGCTTAGTGGAGTTTCTAATGTGCTCAAATTATGCCTTCCTTTCATGTTGTGGATGGACCACAGATCACCTCTTGCATCCAACTACTAGATCATATCAGTTAATGTGTTACTAACTTCTGCTATTAAGGAAAGAAGGCTGTTCAGATAAAAATATCCCATCTTCTGTAGGTGAATTTTAAATGTTGTAAAGTCCAGCTTTGAGACTTCCTTGTATCAATTGTTGATGTGTTAAATTGTTTAAAAAAGCCCTGCTTCCTGGGACTTTCAGGCGGAATTGCCTTAAGTTATATGTAGTTATTAATTTAAAAAGAGGTTATTGTACAGAAAGTGGGTAGAATTTGGGCGTTTTCTTTTCCTTGCTCTTGATTTTTTTTCTTTTTTGGTCGCTTTTATCACTCCTTTGTTTTTGTTTTTCTTTTCCTTATTCCTATCTGAATTTTTCCTTTGTAGGAAAGTGCTTCCTTGGCAGATAGATTGATACAGGTATAGTCCTTCAGTGTTTTACCATATGACTGTGTTCCTACTCTAAAAAAAATACAATTCTGCTTTAATGCATGCATATTTGCATGTGTTTAAGAAATGTATTCCTACCTTGTTGATTTGGAAATAAACGCATAGCTGATTTCTTACTACAATTTGTTTAATTTTATATACTAAAAACATATAAACCCAATACCTGCACGTTAGAATATTTTTCTAACCTGATGTAAACTTTTAGTACAAATTCCTGTTACAAATGTGTTCCACAGCATTGTATTAACACTGAAATTGAATATTGCAAACATAAATCTGTGCATGTACAACTGAGTAATGTTGCATGAATGAAATCTTATTGAATGCAGGTATACAACTGAGCTTGCTAAAAGGATGCCAAACTTTAATAAAATACTAAAGCAGCTATTTAGTACTGCATTGTCCTGAAATTTTTATTTGTACTCTATGCTGTTTGCGAAATCAATCTGATGAAGTAGCTAAACATCACAAAGGCAGTCTTTCTTGGATCTGTCTTCAATTGCTTTAAAAAAGAAAATTATGTCCTAAGGGACAAGTGACAAGGGCCCAGGAGGCTGAGGAAAACTACCTCATAAAACGGGAGCTGGCCACCATCAAACAGCAGAGTGATGAGGCCATTACTAAACTGGAGCAAGCTGAGAATACCATCAGGGAGCTCCAGCAGCAGCAGCAATGGGTAAGGAGCCTGGCAGCACCTCATCTCATGGTTTTCAATTGTTTGTTTACACTTTTCCTCCTCATGACACAGTCCCTATGCTGTCCTTGTGGATACTCGTTTATTGTGATTTGCATTATTAAAATTACGTAAATTGGACTGAATGCTATTTTTGTCAGTTTTACTGATAAAGGATTAGATTCATAACTTAAGTTATTTTAAAATGAAAAAATAAAAAAAGAACACCTTTCAGTAGCTCCTATTACTAAAAATGTAGCCATTGCTAATTGTGTCACTTTGCTCAGTTTGAGAATTGGCTCATAATGCCTTTGGTTAGTGTCTCATGTAAGTCGTTCTCTTCTGTGTTAACTTTTCCTGCATACCTACTTTTTTTTCTAGCACACTTAAATTTGCTTCTTGCCAAACAAATAAAAGGGGATTGTCCCTCAGTTTAGTGTTAATAAAAGGTGGTGGTTTTTTTCTTTTTTTTCCCCAAATAGAGCAGAAAAATAACTGTTAGCAGCCATATACAGTAATGTGCTTTATTTAGTATGTGTTTTAACTTGTGTAATGTGCAAGACTTCAGAGTATTATTGTGCTTCCTCTAAGCTGCTGGCCCCCCCCTCCCGAGAGAGGGGGATGCAGTTTATGCAGTGTTCATCTGCTGAATAAACTATGCACTAGCAGTGCTGATGTGCATATGCTCACGGCGCTTTAAACAAGTGGCATCCAAGTACTTTGAACCTCTGGGCACTTTTAGTTTGTGATTTAAAAACATAACTTTTAGAGCTAGAGCTTACTGTGGCTGCTTACCAAAGACAATATAAGTTTGTTTCATGCTTTCTCCACCAAAGCTGCGGCAATACTTGTGCATCTTTTTGCAAGATGGAGAACAGATTTTCTGTTAGACTGAAAAAATCATTTAACTGGAATTCTGCATTTTAGAAATAGTGTATTATGTTTAATGCATTTCAGCATACAAATGGTACATGTTCCAGAATAATCACAAGGAGCTTTTTCAAAATTAATTGATCTGTGGCTCTATAACATCTAATGTTGCTTTTATTGTATTTTTTTTATTTGAAGGAATTATGATTGCGAAAGGGGATGGGGATGTTCTAATGATGCTTTCCAAACTTTTTGATATGTTGTAATCTTTCCAGTGAAATAAAATGAGAAATGTTTATAGACTGGGTAGCCATTTTTTTTTTTTTTTTTTTTTTAACCCTATGGTTTCCCTTCGTAAACCTTTTAACCATCTGATTACCATCGTATACCTGTTTTGGGACTGTGTTTTTGGAGACATCCTGGTGACACAGTGTTACTCGCATGTATTCAATTACAAGTCACAAAACAGGACTAAAATTCCATGTTAAAAATCCAGCTTGTGAATTCATGCTCAAATTTAAACTTGCTGAATGATGTTTACCTGATAATTGATGGGCAGTAAGGCTCTGAAAGCTAATGCTTCGAGCCCTGCAGCTTGGCTGGGCACAGGAGCTGGGCAAACATCGCTGTCCGGGTTGGAGCTGTGAGGCCAGGAGCTGGGACAGACACTGCAGGAGTGGAGAGAAAGCAAAATGAAAGGATAGGCAATTAAATCGAGAGCTGCGCTTCCTAACCTGCGTGCTTGCAGCCTTGTTTTCCTCCATGTGAATGTGGCTATAGGAGATAGTCTGACTTGGAGCTAAGGTTGTAAACTCATACAGTTATAGAGGGATTGCGTGCTTAGTAACTGCCTAATTTTGGCAGTGTGAAGAATTATACTGTGTTATTGGAGACAGTCTGAATTAACTTAATGTGGTGAAAGGTATTAAGGTGGTTTGGATTAATAGTTCCCTAGCTGCTTCTGCATTAGAAACATTTGTATTTGAACAGGTTTGTAACTTCTTGTTCCCAGGCATGAGAATAGAAGCAACAAACGTAAACATGGTGAGTGCATTCAGGGCACCACCTAGTGGAAATCTATGAATTTATTTTGAATTCATAGATTACACAAATTCAAACTTTATTACATAGAATACACTGGTAAATCTTTTTGCCATTTCCTAATGACAGTTGCTTTGCTCTTGGTAATACTCGTCTTCAGTATTGTCTTGTGAATAGTTTCTTTGCTGCTTTTTCTCCAGTGATTTCGGTTTCTTTATTGTGATTATTAAAAATGATTGCACAGTGGATTTATGCTAATAAATGGTTGCATGGTTTAACTGTGCTTATTTAAAGGGTACAGTGTTTATCATACATGTTTCATAATCTACATCTATTCCAATCTTGAGTCCTCTGTCTCAGCATGAAATAAAGTTTGGGTATGAATTGGAATTTCTGAAAAGGAAAGTATAAAAAAAAAAAACTATCAGAAGATACTTGTTGCTGCCTCTCAGTTCTTCTGAACAACACCACGAGATTTTGGGGGGGGGGGGGGGGGGCGCAAACACCAATCTTAATTCACAAGGCAAGAGAAATAAGAGTTGACTTTACTTTTTTGGCAACAAAAATATTATCTACAGCATTTCAAAGAAAGCTAACTTCCATCCTTTGGGGGGAAAAATGTATTTGTATATAAACATTATCTAGGGTTCACGCTCACTGTTCTGTGAGATTTGATAGCACAGGATAAAGTGGGACAGTTAAAGATAAATATTGAAGGTGCCTCCAGGGTGGGGGATTCTCCCTTGCAGCACTTCTCTGAAAGGCTGAACATAGAGGTGGGTACAAGAATATCCCTTTGACAGAGGGCCAATGCCAGAAACCCAAATTACCTGCAACCTTACTTCTTCCTGTGTTCAAATGGAAGAAATTTTCAACACATTTTCTTCCTGTGTTGAAAAATACTTGTAGGGAGTTTTGAGTTGAACCAGAATAACCTTATTACAAAATTTCTTGAGTCTATTTGGGGATGTTCTTGTTGTTGTTTTGTTCCTTATTTAAAGGAAGCGAAGGTCTGCTATATTTTTTTTTCTCCTAGATGACCTGAAAATAGTGCTAATGCACATATAATGAAAATTTTATTTATTAAATCAAATGTATTCTATGTATTTCTAAGTATATTTAAGATAATTTGGCAGTAGGGGAGATAAGTTGAAAATAGTAAGGTTTGAGACTGAAACTTTGCATTTCATTTTATTTTGGATGCTAACTTTCACATCTTAATAGAGAACAACTAGGTCAGTGCGAGCTTTTTAAAAACAATATAACCTGTAAAGTTCTGTTATGTTGCAAACTAAGGAAAGAAAAATAATTGTAAAGCTAAAGGCGTTCTGCAGTGCTCCTGGAGTAGCCGGGCAGCAGCTGCACCAGCTAGGAGGGCTGCTTTAGCTACCCAAACATCTACCCGAATGGTTGTGAAGAGAGTGGTAACGATTTTGTTTTACCTGGTGCGTCAAATCTTTAAATACAGAAACTTGCTGAAGGCTTCTGGACACAGCTGGTAACCAAAAAACTAAGAAGCAGCTGGCTTCTTTCCCACAGTGCTGGTAAACTAAGAGCTGCACGGAAGAAGCTGTGCCTGACCTCAGCGAGCACAGCGGGTTTTGTTTCCAAGCGTGAGGAGAGGGATGCTGTCGGAGGAGTTAGAGACCAGGGTAGTCAGCCTCTTCTAACGTACCCCAATAGTTATACTCTGAGGGGGCTTCTCTTCTGCTGTGTTTTTTGTTTTGTTTGTTTTTGTTTATTTGTTGTTAAAACAACAAACAAGTAATTTTTATTGGATGCATAAAATTGAAAACTCTGGGATTTCTGCCAGCTAAGTACAGCTCTAGAGCACAAATCTCAGTCTTTCCCAGTGATGTTTTAGATTCCAGTGATGAGCCAGTTCTTCAGTCTGAATGCTTGAGAATCAAATCTGAGATATAAGAGCAAGTTCAGGCAACTAAATTGCTTTATAGCTTATTTTTAAGAAAGCTCTCCCAAGTAAGTGTTACGCAAAGACAAAACTGAACTGACTAAACATCCAAGTAGGAAGTGTGTGTACGTTGCAAGGTAATTTGTGGCCATGTATTTGGTTATCTTCATGGCAACTCTATAACGTACAGTTTCTTTTCAGGAATGGATGCTAGAATGACTGATATTAAGGTGTATAACTAATCTAGGAAGTATGTGCTTGTAATGGAGTGTTGCAACCTTGTGGAAGACTTCATTTTGTTTTACAATTTATCTTTTATATTAAGTTCTAATTTGCCTCCAAAAAGCAGAAAATATAAATACTGTATGCAGAGTATTACAGCTAGTGCTTAAATGCCTAAAGAGAGGAAGCTGGGCCGCCGCTGAATGATCCATTTAATTGCCCTTCAGTATAGAGAACTAGAAAGGCACTTTGTCCATAACTACATGCAGTAATCTGGAGTCAGCCAGAGTAATATGAGGAGTGGTCAAGTCTCAGCCTCTTTGAGACTTTAACATCTAAGAGGTATTGGAAAAATAACACATCTGGTTGTGTGAAGCCAAGCAAGGATTTGCTTCTTTCAGAAGAAAATGGTTGTAGAACTACATTTTTAGTACTGTATAATACAGAGGCATCTGTTCAACGCATGCCAAAGCAAAGTGGTACTTCTGGGTTAAAACATTTAGGTGGTGCTTGGAAATCTGGATTCGCATTGCTATTTACTTATTTTGCCACAAATCCTAGGACTTGAGGCAAATAAATAAAAGCAAAGGTTTTTACTACAGATGTCAGTCCAAAAGTGAAAATTTTGAACTTACTATAAATTTATTAATTTTGATAATTTCTTATCCATAACAAAAGAGAGCCATCCCTGACCTGTTAATGTGTTTTTAAAGAAGCAAAAATCCCCGCTTTGAACATCTGCAAGTTTGCTCTTAAATTTGCTTTGATCTTGGCTGTACTTTTTTGCCAGTCTATCAAGATTAGATTTTAAGTTTGTTTGTGATTAAGTAGATAAATACCCCTAATGTATTCCTCAGGCAGGTTAAATGTAAAGACAAAGAATTGAAAATGGCATAACTTGTGCCTATAACTGGCTAAGTAACTTACCTTCTTGCCCTCCCAAATACTCATTATGTGACAAACATCAGCTAAGTTTTTGTAGTTGCAAATTGGCTAGGTAAGGAATCTGTAAGTACACTTACATATTGTTGTAAGTATAGGATATATTAGGATATATTTAAGTAATTCTTCAAATCTGCTGTTTCCTGTCCATTTCCTAGAAAGTACAGGAGGACTTCTTGACCTGAAGAAAGCGCACTGCGCTTGTTCTTGTTTCATACCTTAGCTGAAGCAGAATCTGGAACAAGAAAGTGAGAGTCCGTATAACTTGCTGTGTGTAACATTAATAAACTTGTACAAACAGCCAGGGAAGATCATAGAGTTGTTGCCCGTTCCCTGCCTCTGCATCTGTTTCATGTGCTACTTATGCTCCCGTATCATGTGAAGCAATTGTACAAGTGTATCAGCACAGTCTACCCTTCCCTGTTTATGTTCAAATCAGGGCTGCCCCCACCTCTTCCTGAGGCAAAGTCATTATGTGATTTGAAAATAATATAAATAAAGTTAATCTGGTATAAGGGAAAGTTAATATTAAAGTACGACCATCCATGACCAATATGATGATTATCTTTGTACGTTAGCGGTATTCCCTGTGTGTTCAGCTATGGCGTTAAGTAGGATGGGCATTTAGTTGTTTTAAATGGATCAGTGAGACTGAAATTGTTCAGTGAAACTAAAGACTACTTGTATAAACTAGATCTGCCTTTTAATGTTTTGTATATATCCCCTCCCTTACAGCTTCCTGGAGAAACTATATCCTGTGTATTTAAAGAAATATAATTTAAAAAAAGGTAATAGTAAAATTCAGCTGAGTTAACATGCTGAAACTGTATTGTGCTTTAAGTCATGAAGAAAGGTGTAATTGGCATATAAACCTGTAAAAATAATGAAAAACATTTCCATAACTGTGCAGTTACATGTTGCCTATCCTTTTTTTGTCCTGTTTGTCTTCAGTTTGTGCATTAAAGGTCAGGGAAGAATGGAACAAACCAAAGTGACAGTACATTAAGAGTGTACGTGACTTACCTTAAACCCAAGATTATGGAATGTTTGTGCTGAATCAAAGCCTAACTGCGATTAGGATTGGGGAGATACTTGTGTTGTCCCTGCAAGTAACTAGTCTTTCCCAAACCTGTGTGTTTCTGCATATCACAAAATAACTACAGATCCTTTAAAAACTCCCCAGTCTATAAAAATGAGGAAAAATGAGGTATTTGTCATCAGTAATGGCAGGGGTCTCAGTTTGGTCCTACACATTTGACTGTGTGTAGATGCTGCTCTTTAGCAGTCTGGATAGGCACGTTAGGCCTGTGTAAGGTAAGCTCTTTTGTTGATCTTAAGCTGTAATTTTTGCTCCAAATCTGGCACACGAGCCCCCTTTCAAACCATCTGTGCTTCATACTAAATATATTTCTGCAAACTTTGTAGCATAAATGCAGTTCACGCTACAGTGAAGACTTTGTGCTACAGCTGGAAAAAGAGTTGGTCCAAGCCAGGCTGAGTGAAGCTGAATCCCATTGTGCCCTGAAGGAGATGCAAGATAAAGTTCTAGAGATGGAAAAGGTAAATCAAACCCAGAATCCTCTGTGTAAAATAGCGCTAGAAACAGAATACAGGTCCCTGTAATTCTTGGCATAATTGTGCTCTAGAATCTTCTGTTGTGTTTCTATAATTGCAAGATGCTTTTCAAACCTGAAATTAATATAGCAAAACCAAAAGATGTTTGCACTGGGAGAGGTCTGTGAAGAACAGGTCGCTTGTCTCCTGTTCCTAAAGCCCGCTGCAGTGGAAAGCGTGGATTCTGGTGAAGTCCATAGACTTCACCAGACCTACAGCAATAGACTTAGGGTGAGTACTGAGGTGGTATGAAACGGACTAATGTTTGGGAGAAACACAGTTCAGTGTTCCTGTTCCCAGGTTTTGTAGTTCTTGATTCTTTCCCAGTTCTCCACATTATGGGCAGGGAAAAAAAATACCTCACCTGTTCAGTATCAAAACCTCTAACTTGGGTGCCAGCCAAAGCCATATCAGACAGCTTAATAATGCCAGAGCTCCAGCTGTACTCAAACCAGCTGTCAAACATTTACCTTCCTTTGGAAAAAACTTGACTGCAAAATAAAATAGGAAAATACTAAGTGGCCTAACCCAAGGCATACTCTTCCAATCATATTATATTGGCTTGGGAAATTGTTTCCTCGTGCAGACTTTAAAGGGCTATATACTCAAGAACTGACCAGAATTTATTAGTTAATTAAAAGAAGTTAAAATTTTGACTCCAGTGAGTTAATCAAATTATCTGAGAGGCTTGATAGGAGTCTGCCAAGCTAGTTGGGTGGTAGCTCTCACTATACTGAACATCGGTAAGAATTCAACATCTAAGGTGTTACTCAAAATTTATCGAGAGAATACTTTATTTAATCTTCTCTAATGTGAAGGTAGCATATATTGAAAACTTAAATATGAAGAATATCTGGAGAAGGGGGAGAAACTTCTGATGTAATGGGCACACCTAGGTGGAAAGCAGTATTCAGTCAATCCATAACTGAAGCCAAGCCCATGAGAAAAATGACTGGAGTAACCCCCCAGACTCCTGTAATTACAGTTCTCTGCTGCTATTATAATGGTGTGTCATGTAACCTAAGAAAACTCTTAACTTGATAACCCAAGACTTGCATGAATGTGCTGACACTGATGTAAAAATACAGGAACACACTCCATCACAACTTGCTCTTGCCAAAACTTACAACCCATCATTGGAAACATTTCCGAGATGCTAATAAATGGTTGTCTGTAGTTCTCTTACTGCTAATCATGTACTTTATTCTCAGCTTTCAAAAAAAATCTGGCTACTGTCACAATATTGTATATCCCCCAAATACTTGATAATTACTACTGAAAAATACAGTAAAGTGATGAAGCACAGTTCAGCTTTGCGTATTTGACCATTTAAACAGTGCATAGAGCTCAGCGTAGGGAAATTGTAGTTTAGGTAGGCTATGTCCTTTTTCTCCCTCTGTTTCTTTCCCAGACTCTGATTATCATAATTTCCATCACTATTTTACTTTCTCCAGGTCTCTCCTGCTGTAACACGTTTCCTACTTTCTGTTTAGCTTTCTCTAGTCTTGCTACTTTTTCTCATGTGTTTTTGTATACATCTGTGCACTTTCATCTGCAGAACCTTGTCTTGGCTGGCTGTTGTTACAAATTTTAATAGACGCTTCCTTTCTGCCACTGTTAAGGCAGATGACCTGCTTTCCAAAATCTAAATTTCCATTTACTCTTTTTTGGTAAGTCTAAATAACAATTATAACTGTAAGGGTATAAATCACTTTAATTACTCCAAAGTCTTTTAGATTTCTTTCCATACTTTTGGTGACATCATTCCAAAACCAGTGTAAATGATGCAGTTCTACAGAATACCTTTGCTTGGGTTACCATCAAGGGAAATCCTGGAAGTCAGAATATCTAGTCTTGGGTTTTTTTTGGTTTTGTTTTGTTTTTGTAGTTGACAATGGAAAGATACTTATTCACACTTATGCCATCCAAAAACTTAAATTTTTGAGGGATTTGATTTTAAAAGGGATGTGTCACTAAGACATTTTAGTTAGTAATACGAGCTATCATTCCAGGTATATGTTTTTGGAGCAGGTCTCACTAAATGCAATTTTACTCAAATACATGTTTAAGAAGATCTTACCTGTTGCAGAGGAACAGCTCTCTACCTGATGAAGAAAATGTTGCTAGACTACAAGAAGAACTGATTGCAGTAAAATTAAGGGAAGCAGAAGCTCTGATGGGTCTCAAAGAACTAAGGCAGCAAGTCAAAGATTTGGAGGAACACTGGCAGGTAAGGGTAATAATACTTTGCTTTATTATCATTCATTTAAAAAAAAAAAAGCACAGTAATATGGAAATTTTAAGATGTAGATGTCAAGCAGAAACTGATGTTTGGGGATCAAGCCTATGAAGTGAGAAAATCTGTAGCTGAAGTTACCACAAGTGACTTCAGTTCAAAAGTATGTTAGAAATTGGTCCCAAGTTGTTAATAGGTGGCAGAAAGGCCTGTGCAACCAACTAACCGTTCTGGTAGAAAGGAGGAACCTGACCAGAAAATGAAGGTAGGCTTCTACTTCAGTGAATGTTAATAAAGGCTAAGAATAGGCAAAACTGTCCTTCAGGATAGGCTTGCAGTTCACTAACTTACTGCAGTTGGAATCTCCTGTCTTCAGCTTCTTGTTTCTCACTTCCTAATATTGGTAATTTTGCATAGTGGGTGTTTTTTTTTTTTTTTTTTGATGAACAGTAACACTACAGCCACCTAACCCATACAACTCTGAGATACCACAGATCTTTGAAGTAAATTGTTCTTTAATTAAATTAGGAACACTGGGAAAGATCAGGTATATCAAGTGATGGCATGTTGTTTTAGCGTCATCTAGCTCGCACAACTGGAAGATGGAAAGATCCTCCCAGAAAAAACGCAGTGAATGAACTACAGGATGAGCTCATGACGGTCCGATTGAGAGAAGCAGAAACTCAGGCAGAACTAAGAGAGATCAAACAAAGAATGATGGAGATGGAAACACAGGTATGACATTGAATGTTAGCATGCGTGAATTGAGCTGAACACTGGCAAATTAGGTATTAAATGATGGCTATCAGATGATGGTCTTTACCATTCTTTACCATCTGTGTTCAGGACTTTAGTGCCTAAATGTTTGTTTGTTTATTCTGTTAGAATAAGAAGGAGAATCTAGTGCATGCAGTCCAATTTACTTTTAGCAGAAGCTTTACTTTTCACCTGTCAGAAAAGGAAAACATGATTCAGCATTGCCAAAACTTTTACAGAAAAGGCAAAAATAACTTGTCTGCCTAGATCTTTTTCCTGTAACTAGGGAAGCAAAGTTGTTAAGCAAATAAATCCAAAATGGCAGTGTGCTAAAATGGGCAAGTTTATATTATGTTACTGAAGTCTCAGCTGAATCTCTCAATATGTACAGTGTGCTGCTGGTTAAGAAGGATTTGTACAAACTTTTGAGAAATCTGTGCTTGAAATATGTGCTAAGTGTGCCTGATACTTGGAGGACACCTGTGCATTCAAAAGGTGCAAAAAACCCCAAAACAAAGTGAAGAAAAAACCCCTACTTCTCTTGACAAATTTCTTCTGCCCCAGAAACCAGTAGCACGCGTATCCGTATGTAGTCCCTTGAAGTGAGATGGGTTCCCTACAAGGCACACGGTTACTTATTTCTGACAAAGGCACCACTTTCATCTATGCTAACCAAATAAAGTTTTCTCTTGTCTTAATTTTTTTAAATTTTCATTGAAGAGTTATACTATTCCACTAGTGTTGATGATCGTTTTTTCCCTCAGTTAATCAGTGTCTTTGTTTTAGTCAGTAGGGGGCAGAGTTATCCTGTTCTGCAGCTTAGGTGAACTAAAATCACGGAGGCCTTTAGCTAGTTGTTCGCTTCAGTGTTACGCATTGAGGCTTTCCACGTGCTTATGCTGTTCAGCTGTCCTTTGAACAAAATGTGACTGTTTTCATTTCATGTATTAGTCTATGCAGTTTCATACAAAAACCACGCGTCTTGTACTAACTTACTGATCTTAACCATGGTGCCATATTTCTGTCAGGAATTCACTGCACAGAGATGTGCACATGGCATTTCTGACATATCTGATGTTTCTTGGATGCCTCAGCTTGTTGCTGTAACTGGGATGCAAGTTCACAAAATCTTTGACTTTACTGAAGTAAAAGATCAGAAAAAGCAGATGTACGGTAGCCTGAGAGCTACCATTCTTACAGTGAGTTCTCTGTTGTTTAACCACGCTTTGAATGTGCTGGTTGTAAAACAAATGCGATGCAAACTCTTCTGGTTACATTCAGAAACTGAACATTCCGAATGATTTTGTTCATTGAAAACCTTATAACAAGCAATCTGCCAATCCTGTTTAAAAGAAATGCACCAGGATATATATATTTTGGCGCCTCTCTTGTCAGACTTTAGCTGGTAAGTTTATATCAAAGATCTTTTTTTAACCTTTATGTTTTTTGTTATAAACATCAGAATCAGATCAACAGTAACCATTTACGGAGGGCAGAACAAGAGGTTACCACCCTACAGGGGAAAGTACAGTATCTTTCTGCACAGAACAAAGGACTTCTTGCTCAGTTGAGTGAAGCAAAACGAAGGCAAGCAGAGACTGAATGCAAGGTAAACAGCTTTGCAAATAGGCTGTTTGTGTGCTAACATATACGTTTTTAGCCTCGTGCACTATTGTTGAATAGAATTATGAGTCTTAATTGAGAAGTAAAAATCATGAAAACAAAACTTGCTTTTACTGATTTGACAATGTCATCTTGGCTTTACCATCTCATAAAAAACATCTGAGGTTTTGACAGAGCTGCTTCTTTGTGGTTGCACAAAGATAAACTTTTACTTTAAAGTGTGGTTCTACTTAGAAAAGTGTCTGTGTGCATAATATCTACAAGAGGCACCCTCTTATTCAACAGATTCTGATCGCTATGTACTCTGATTTGCTTTAGTGACAAAAGAGATTCCTTACTTCAGCCTTGGCCGTTACTGCAGAATTACCCTAGGTACAAAAAAGGAAATAAAATGAGCGTTTGAATGGAGAGGCATACAGGAGGGAGTGTTAGAGTATGTGCTGCCTAACAGTAACTAGTCTTTAAGGGGTCAACCCTAAAAAGCTGGGCAAAATAGCCTTTTTCATTTCTGTCAATGCACAAATGAGAGCCCAGTCTGATGTCTGAATCTCAGGTTTATTAGCTGATGTTGTAACTAAATCTATAACCAGTCTCTAATAACTTTTCTCTTTATAAATTGTGCACATGTAACACGACAATAAAATAAAGAAGTAGTCCTACCTGATTTTTCCTTTAACTTGGATGAAAATTTTCCTGCAATTTGTACAGACCTTTGCTTTAAGAAAAGGAAATTGACAAATCACTGCGGTTCACTACAGCTAAGCCATTTTTTTTAAAGTCAGCTAAAGAGCTGAACAGTCAGTAACGTCTAGATATAATAGTTATTAATATGTTAAAAAAGAGTACCATAATATGAGATGATAACCAAATTACCACTTATAAAACTGTGGCTGTAAATTGTCAACTTTATATAACATCATCAACTTTCAAATTGATCGTGATCTGATATCAGTCTTTTCCCTTAATGTAATCAAACTTTTTTTTATGGACACTGCTTATGTTTCTGTGCTCATTCATTCAGAGCACAGCTATCTGAGTGTTCTTCTGTTTTTCCCTGTATGCATGCATTTTACTTGAGAGATTCCTACCCCAAAGAGTACATTGTCTGTAATTCCATCAGAGGGTTCTGATGACAATATAAACCAAGGGTGTAGCTTGAGTGGTTTATTACTGTCACTGAAGCCTAGAGATGAAATTACATCCATATTACTATGCATAGTTTTGTTACAATATCACACTCTTCTGTTTTTACAGATTTTTTAAAATTTATTTTCTCCAAGGTAATGCACAAATCTAGCCAACTGAGTTGCGTAGTAAATTCTAACCTTGTGTTCGTTACTCAAAGCCATAACATATAATTTGTATTTAACAATTTTTTATTGTTAAATAAATTGTTTTATTGTTAAATAAAACATGGAAGCCAGTGGTATCCGAATCTAAAGTGCAGTGAAGACAACTTCTACTGATTCATCAAACTCCATCACAAGCTTTTAGGAAACAGCCCACTGAATCTTAACTATAAGAATTCAGTTCCTTTGTTTTTTGTTCACCGTAACCACTGGTTTCTTAAGTGTCATTAAATAATGCTGAGATGATTCTTATTTATTTTTTTAAATGTTCCTTGGCATCTGCCTTAGTGACATGTTAGTTCTCTTCATTTAACCTGTAATTTTCATGTTTGACTTTTTGATACTGAAGTTCCTAATTAGTCTTTAAGAGATTGAGAAGGTATAGTCAATATTACTTCAAAGTTCTTCTTTTGACTGCAAATGGAATAATATGTCTTTGCCTCGGAGCCTGAATAAATATATATGCCTATTCTCACTGGGATATTTTGCGCGGAAAGTTATGTTGTGAAATGGGCGAGTGAGATGTGATAGTAACACACTGAACACTGGCAGTATTTAGGGCATTCTTAGAGGTTTTCTGAAAGTAGCAGTTGTCAATTTAACCAATGCAGTAGCAGTCCCCGCTACAGTAACATTAGATCGTGAAGCTTCTACTGTAATCACTGATGGAAAAAAGGTTACAGTTTATATTATAACATCTTTTCTATTCGTGTGATGTAAAGTGAAATACTACCAATTTGGTGCAAATGCACTTTAGATGGAGTTCTAATCTTTAAGCATGAGCTAAAATGTTACCTCTTGGAATGAGGCTTAATATAATTCCATTGGCTACTGTACTGTTTAAATACACAAATTTTATTTGCTAACTGTATTGAAAGATGAATTTAATTTGCTGAAGAAAGGTAGTTACCAGTGTAGTCTTCCCTAGTATTCCCTTTTCCCCCTCTCCCTCTAAAGTTGTTGTGAGCTGGCATTGTGCTTTTATCCTACTATTTCCCCTCTCTTTCTTTCCCACTAACCTAATTTAATATTTTTCTTTAATCATACTGCCTTCCCTATAAAAGTATGTTGTGGTCTTTATCTCTCCGAAAAGCTGTTCTGTTGCATTTCTAGCCCTTCTAGGTGCCTTCTAATATCCCTTGCTATTTCAGACTCAGGCTAATTGCCGGAAGAAAGGAATGCAGAGTCTGTTCTTCACCTACTTCATTTCTTTGAAACTGATTTGCCTTAAACCTCTGAAATACTTTTTTAGACACATCTCTTGGTTTCTGCCACATCCTCATTACATTATCTTTTTCATAAGGATATTATCTGCATTGTTGTTTGCTGCTTTCAGAGCTTCAGCTATTACTGCTGTGCTTCCAAAGTAACAACAGCCAGTTGTCTGTAGCTGGACTAGAAATGGAAGCTTTTGAGTACAAACCTGGGCAACTCCGGGAAGGAAGAGGAGCTGGTCACTAAACTGCATATGAGGGACTGAGAGAAAGAGTTGCAGGAACTAATTGCTTCCAGAAGTGATTAGTGAAATATACGTAAGGTAATGCAGCCGTCCTGTAAGGCCTGTAAACAATAGACTGAAGCGTTGAACCTGACCTGGGGCATCCAATTTTGGGCCTGATTACCGAAGAAGTTAAAGTAGTCTGAAGTTCTGATCTGTCTTCAAGTGATGTTAATTTGCAGGAAATATCATAAAAGTTAGAGATGAGCTACAAGCAGTGAACAGCCTGGTCACATCTCCTTTTTCCAAAGGCATGTTCTGTCAGGAGAAAGACTGTGGCTTTTTTACTATGAAACGCTCATGGTGATGCCAGCCAACACTTGAGGTCTGCCCATTCTCAATCTCTCTACCAAAGTTTATTCCAAAAGCACCTCTGGTGCTCAAAGGACAGAGGCCCTTAGAGAAGGTGATATTTAAAGCAGAATAAAACTCTTCAATGAGTAGAGCGTTTAATAGAAAACATGTTAGACATGCATTTTTTAAGTAACAATTGACTAAATTTGCCAGCATGTTTTGTTATTTTTGAACTTAGTACACACAGAGGATAGACTTTTTAACATCACTTTTTCTTCTCTCTGCTCCCATTTATTTGTAATATTCTAGTTACAAAACCTCAGAGATGCAACTGTGCCTTTCTAGTAGAAACGGAGCAGGTTTCTGGTGTTTGTAAACACCATTTAATTCTCTGCAAGACAGAAATACTACATAACCTATTAAGATAATTCAATGTAGTGTTTTTGGTGAAAGCATGAAAATCAAATTTTTGTGACCTAAGTTCTAGTATCCTCTTTGGAGGGTGACTTCTACAAATTATAGTACTGAAGAAAAAATAGAATTATATTGTAGCAAAGCCACGTATTTTTCTATGTATTTTAAATTATTATTTGACTTGAAAGTGCTGTTCAGCAAAATCCAAGCAGGAAAACTTTAGAGGTAAAACGTGTAAGACCTGACCTGACCTCTGAAGTATGGAGGAACTGTGGGTTAAACTCTGCAATTGATAACAAGTTCTTGTTTGAGAAGGTGTTGCGGGAGAGCCAGGGGTCTACAGAAGGCCCTTAAAGGTGGTGCCAGGTGCCTCTTGATGTTTTGAGAGGACATAAGAAAATGGTTGGTCTATTCTATACAAACAATTCAGCAATGTTTTACAGATTTCGTAAGAGTACTGTGTCATTTTAAAAAGCATGTTACACCGTATACATAATTCTTTAAAATATTCTGCCGTTCAAATGGAAGGTAACTTAGTATTAAACTTCTAATTGCTATTTCAAATGTATGAAATACTTCAATTTCAAGCTTTTTAAAAAGATAATGTGTGTGTTAATCAAAAAATGAGCGAATATTAAAAACCTTTGTCCTTGGACAGTTGGTTTGTAAGGGTAGTAATACTGTTTCCCATCCCTCACCTTCTGCATTCAAACTACTGAAAGGATGATTTTTAGCTTAATCTAAGATTAATGACAAATGCTTCTACCTTTTCTGGTAATAGAAGAGACTAACTGAGGTTGCTCCCACCTCCCCACACCCACGCTACAGTAAATGAAGGAAATTGCTGTTTGGGGTTGTTTCAGGTTATATCACTGTCTGAGGAAAGTGAGATTTTAATTTAAAAGTGAATTTAAAGGAAATGTAAATTCTGAAGTTTATAGTGGAAGAAAAGCATTAAATTACACTTTTCAGGCCAAAATCTTGTGATATTACTGGCTTTGTTTATGCTAACTGAATTTACAGTATAAAACTGTAAAAACAGGGGAAAAAAAGAAAAAACGGAAAAACCAACATATCCCATGACTGCTATGTAAAGAATGCTCCAAGTGTGAAGGGTTAGCCTCCACCGGAAACACTCTTGACTTAAACCTATAAACCTAGAAATAAGCTCAGTATCTGTCATTTTACCAGTTTGCTACCAACATACATTTCACTCGTAATACAGATAATAGTGGAATTGTCTTATAAATTCATCCTTCTTGCTGTGTAAATTCCTGAAATAAAGCTATTTAATGTGTCACAATGCAACAACTTTGTGTTCAAAGCTGACAAAGAAAAGTTTCAATAATTTTCCAGGTAATATCATAGAGTAACATAGACAAATGTCAAAGGTTTTTGTAGTGCCAAATATTTTTAGAAATTCTACCCTGCATCTCCCTAAGTCCGGCAAGCTTGGTTTTCCCACTTCCATTAGAAGTTGACTTCCTTTCTTTCCCCCCCCCCCCCCCTCCACTATTTCAAGTAATCTGAAACCATGCTCTATTTTTATTTCAGTCACTACAGCTTGGCTTGGTACCAATATTTCCACTTAGAGAGGTCTCAAAAAAAACCTATTTAGATTTTCAGCTTTCTGCAAATAGTTTCTCCTGTTCAGAAAATATCAGTACATTATTTCTGAAGCTTGTCTTTTTCTTTAAAAGAAAGCTGAAAATATTTAAGCAGAAATTTTTTGTAACAAGTCACATCTCCTGCTGCCTATACATAACTGTTTTCTGTCACTAATAGGTACTACATTATGACTTTTTTTCTTTTTAACCGACTGTTGCTTCTACAGCACGCACTTCATTTCAGACAGTTTCTTGAAACACAGCGCTAATCTTTCAAACAATAGTTACACTGAGGAGAATTAAAAATGTAGAACAAAAGATTTCTATTTTTCCCCTGGCCTTGCCTTTCCTCCCATATCCACTTCCATGGTAATAACTGAGGACGTGCATTTAGCTAGCTCGGTTTCAGTGATAAAGCATCAGTGCCATGCAGTGCAGCACTAACACCAACAGTACTGTTCGCAGAGTTACGCCGTCTGCGCGCTCTAAGAGCAAGCGTGCCTGAGCCTAGGCTGCCTCTTCCACAGCAGAACACGCGCTCCAGCTGAAAGTAAGGCAATGCTGACTCAGTATCTGCAGCTCTTCCCTCTGTGGCAGTGCCAAGCTGGTGACAACGTAACGTCAGTCGTTCTGTGTTCTGGAGTCTTGAGGAATTGTCCCGCAGAGCAGAAATAAAGAATAAAATAACTTCCTTTTATGTCTTGTCCAAACTCGAAGTGCCTATCACTGAACTGTCTCCAGGGCTCTGGTTGTACATTATGGGCATTTGAATTTTATCCTACACTATCTTGCACGTCTTTGTTGTATGCTGTCTTTAAGATAGATGGACTTCAATGAAATTTTTGGAGGAGGAGGGAGTTGATAAAGAATGTTAATGAAAAAAGTCACTTTTTGTGTAGCACTTAATGCTGTTTCTTTATAAACAAACTCAAAAGCTGAAGAATGAGTATGTCTTTTTATCATATTGAGACTTAAGTGTTAACAGTGTGTCTCAAGTGTTTACAATAAAATGTTTCTGTTCTGTTTCTGGCTCAGACACTGAGATGTCTATTGCACGGACCTGGAAATCGGTTACATCATATGTTTCAAAATTACATTGATATTTATTAGATGAATATAGTTTAGAATTGTTATTAAATGATTATATTATCTTAAAGGTTAAAACTAAATTTGGAGGAGGTTTTTTTTTTTTTTTGCCCATGTCCTATCAGCAGGTATGATTCTTCAGCAGTGTATTTTAAGCTGCGTTGTTTGCTTGCATGGTTTTAGGTGAAGGCAGCGTACAGCCTGTGCTCAGCTGAACCTCACAACATTTGTTACCTGTGATTTATCACTTCTTTCAGAGCAAAGAAGAAGTGATGGCAGCAAGGCTCCGCGAGGCAGACCGCATTGCAGCTGTGGCTGAACTCCAGCAGCATATTGCTGAACTAGAAATCCAGGTAACAAGTGATGGCATTAAATGTATAACTTGATATTGATTCCTTTTTACACTTTGTTTTATTTTTTCCTTCCTCTGCTTTCTTTCCCTTTTAACCTACTTTGAACACAAGGCACTGCTTTGCGAAGTGGGATAATACTATCTTGCTGAATGTGCCTTTTCATAAACAAAGGCCTTAAGTCTACCTTATGAGCAAACTTCTGAGCTGTTAATTGTTGCTTCTGTACAAGTGCCATGCAACAGATAACATTCTCTTAAACTGACTTCCATGTTTGCTTTTTTCTTGTGAAATTTGACCAATTAGTATACCAGATTGAAAACCTCCTCTATCCAAAAAGACACATTTTGATTCCAGCAACCATCCTTGCCTGTACTTGCTTTCCTGCTCAACTTGGAGGATTTGTTGTAAACTCTTACCACTTTTATCTAAATCCTGAAAACAGAAATGCTATTTAGTGCTACCATGTCGTTGTAGTATCTGAAGATGCATCCTTTGGCCCCTGTGCGATTTCTTATACTTTCAGTTCCTTTTGAAGCTGCCATTCTACCGTGAACTTACTGGTCCCTTGCTCTGAGAATCATGAATGACTTTTGTTTTCTTTATTTTTAAGGCTTTGAGAAATCACAATGTCTTACTGTACTCTGTCCTTCCTTTATTCGGTTACTATTTTTTTCTATTTAAATTTTGCTTCATCCATCTGTGAAGGATTCTTTTGGTTTTTAATCCTCTACATTATAAGCTACTTACTCTCTGGTTTCTTTTATTTTTAATGGTAATGTGAGTGTCGTCTTCCCTCTGAAATCTTGTGGTCAAGATGACGATTTTACTGTATTGTCTCCAAACCTTTTTTCACTATGACTTCTCAATTAAATCTCTTTCATCTCTTCATATGTGGACTCAGCTTCCTTTTAAACCTGTTTTTTATTTCTACTTAAACCTCGGTCATGATTTTGCTATTAGCATGTGGAAGATGTGCAGTAACATATTATCATATTATCTCTACGGTATCAACTTGTATTGTGTAAATGACTGCATACAAATAAATTTAATAGAGCTTGCATAAACAATTCTTCACTTTGAATATTTTTCCTGTAGTGCAACAGGCACTGAATTTATTGAAAGATAAAGCAATCATTTCTTTTAATCACATAATGCTTAGATAATGCTGTGATCAGTAAATTAGAAATACTTATCTAAGTAAAGTAAGCATTGCATATGAATCATTTATCTTCTAGCAAGATAACAAGAAAATAGCTGAGTTCAGGTCAATCTCTTACTCATGTGTTAACTTTAAACTTTATTTAATTATTTTTAGTAAAATATTGGTTTTAAACAATGTGATTTTGTAGGTGAGAAGGAGCTAGTAGCCTGTTCTGACTTTTCTTCTTTAAGACAGACATTAAATGATGTCCTACTTCCCTTCTTTGACTAACATGGGTCTTTCAGAAGGCCTTCCCGTCTTCATTTTACGAAGTCAAGAATGGTGAATCCTACCATGATCAGTGTGTTTTTGATTTTTTTTTTCCCCCTTGTTTTTTTTTTTCCTCTTCCTGATAGCTATACCCCATATGGGGTCATATATCCCATTAGAATTCTGTGCTGGTAATTTTTTAATGCAAATATACCTGACTGGGTTTTCTTTGGTCTTGACTGATCCAATCATCAGTGCTCAATCATTTTATAGCCCCTTCCTATTCCCTTCTGATTTTTCAGCGTTTCAGTTTAAGCTATGGGTGCCAGCATTGTATGCAGAATTTAGTAATATTCTGCCATTAAGCAGGTAAAGAAGATAAGTGCAGGAAGGTAATTCATTTCACAAATCTGGTTTATACGTCCAAAGATTACACCGTCCCTATTTGTCACGATATTGCACTGTCTCATGTTCAGTTCTTTATCCACATCATCTCTCCTTCCTTTTCACAATCACTACTTTGCATGATGCAATCTTTCGTTATGTTTTCCTATTTTTCTCATTTTCTAGGTGGTCTTGTATTTGTCTCCTATTGAAGTGCACTTTAAGTTTGAATCTTTTTGCTGTTCTTAGATGATCATGTTAATGATTTCTTGATCTGCGTTATCTTTCAGTAAAAGTCTTTGTATCCTGCACAATTGAGAACTGCTTTGCTTTCTTTGCTTAGTCTGGAGTATGAAGTCATTTTGTAACTGGGTGGTTCATGTTTCTAATTTAATGAGCTTGCTCTGGTAAGCTTTGGTGAACTATTGATCTCATTTACAAATTTATACTAGTCTGTTGAAATACAGCTTGTGTGGTTGTGAAATACATGGTTGGAGTGTTAACTGCATACACTTTTTAAAAATTGGTTTAGCTGAAGTAGAAGTTCCTCTAATGTCAATAATTCAAGTCTAGAGTGTCAAAAATATATTGAAATGTTTTTATTGGGCTGTGACAGCTTTTGTGTAAGCTTTTACAAGTAAAGAGGTATTTTTGACCAGTGTTTTTTTGCCAGCAAATATGAAACTTTTGATCATAACTTCCTTTTTGGGTACTCATGCTCAAAGGCCTCTGAAACACCTGCACCAAAAAAAAAAGTTATAATGGAGCTGGAAAGCCTAGCTCCCAAAGGTAGTGAACCGTAAGAACACGCAGCTGACCTCAGAGCTTAAAAAGCCTCTTTTAAGGAAAGAGGACATCTAGGCATAGGGATGAGATACTGGATAACTTCCTCATTGGGAAAAGAGCTGCCTCCTCCCATTCTCTTGCATTCAGCTTGCCACTGTAATGGCTGTGACCTGATGTGGAGAGCAGAGGGTCTTTTAACCTGAATTTGCTTTAATGACTTGAAATACAACATGTAACACCATAAAGTTCAGGCAGCCAGTCATGGAGTGTGGGTGTCAGTCTCAAAAGTTATTACACTTAACATGGAGCATCACAAATAAGTCTGCTTGTCATATTGTTTCAAAGTTGATAAAGATGAAGGGAGGAAGTTAACTTACCGCATAACCTTCCTTTTTTGAGGGGGATGGTACTTTTCTAAGAAGCTCTAGGGATTCAGTGCCAGGTCTGCATGGTCCATAGCAATGTTTATCCTAAATCATGCTGTTTTCTTTTAAATGTTATCATAGGTTTAGGTGCAAGACGCTAGCGTTAAATTTGTAACACAGAGTATCAGTACTCCCACATAAGAACTGATGTGACATTACATACACAAATGCTAGATTTAAATCACAGTTTCTGGGTCACTTACTTTTGTTCAGTAATAATGAGAGAGAGGAGAAATGGACTATTTAGAAACAGAATAGATAGAATTCTGTCACTTAATAGTAGACGTGATTCTCTAACAAGATGTCAGCTTATTATGATATTTGGAAGTAATTTTTGTATATTCTGAATATCATTTTATATTGTTCGGGCACTCAGTTCCTGATTCTGAATTTTTAAACTTTGGCTTAAACATATTGATGTGCAAAGAACAGCCCATCACATGATAAAATTCCGAAGCAAAAGAAATGTAAGGGCCATTCTTTAGTGAAAATAACAGAACTGAATTGTAATTGAACTTGTGTTCTGTATACCTAAGCCCCTGAAATGACAAAGGAAAACCCTCAAGTTGTGTATAAGTAAAGGTATGTGTTGTCAGCTTTTTTTCCTCCGCTTACCCGTTTAGATTATAAAACCCTTGGGAAGGAAACATGACTTGTTAATGAAATATTTAGCAGGCTTCTGGGCTTTTAACAGGACATTCAAGTAAATGGAAAACATACTAAGGCTGGATTTTGAGTGGCAGGGCTGTACCTCTGTGTTGGGGAGAAGCTGTTCTTTTCCAAATCAAGTGTTTCACTTTCTCAAAGATAGAAGATGAGCCTCTAACAAACAAATGACTTGTTTTGGCCAAACTGTGCGCGCTCTCTGACCTCTTCTGTCCCATCCCTTTGTAACATGCAAAGAGGGTGAGAGCCAGGACCAAGGAATAGGTATCATTTCCCTTTATGTCTCTAATCTATCAGCAAAACCCTGAGTTTGTTTCCTCAAGGAATCAAGGAATTGGGCTCCCTTGTTTTCACCTGAACTGGATGGATAGCTTCAAACTGCAACAAGCAGGTGCCTTTAATTTCTTAATATCAGCCTTTAAAATCCTATTGCTTTTACCTTGTGTATGCTTTCCTAAAGCTGCCTGAAGAAAGTCTACTAAACTTCACTACACTTTGGCCTAATAGGAAGCGCTCCTGATCCCATATGGGCAGTCCTGTTGGTCATTCTGCATTGCTAAAAAAAAAAAAAAGCTATCCTCACAACACTTGAAGAAAGGACAGACTAACTGAGATAAAGAGGCTTTTGAGAAATCCAGACAAGATTAAATAAGTTGCGGTTACAAGCCAGAGTTGATCAACGGGCTGGGGTAATGCGCACTGAGCTGATGAAAGCGCAGAAGGGTGAGGAAGCAGAGCTGGGGCAGCTGCAGTCTCAGCTTTGTGTCTTCTCTTCGTCGCTGGCCCTTCGTTCCTCTGCCGGCTGGTGCCTTGCAGCCACCCTCACAAAGCTCCTCACCGCTGCTTTGGGATGGGGGGGCCACACAGCACATATGTGACATAGGAAACTAGTTTTTAGGCCTGAGTAATCTTAAAAGGAAAATTAGCTGTCACAATTCATTCTTGTGTTTGTTAGGTTGATCTGGACAGGGGGTAACATCACTTCCTCCTGGTGTGTTTCCTGGCAGATTCGGAGAACTTTGTCACATTTACCCTATCTTTAACCATGTCAGAGCTCCTTTGAGAACAACTGTAAAGGAAATCCATGATTGTGCTAGTTCTCTCCCCCACAATTTAAACTTTTAGCACTATTTCTCTAGAATGAAGCCTTTCTATGACCTCTATTTAATAACTTTTCCAAGTACTGACTGTTGAGTAAAGAAATTGTTTCCATCTTTTCAAATTACAGGAAACTTTTTTTACTCTTATCAATAGTGGTGTGTGATGTTAGTGATGTGTTTTTTGAAAGTCTAGAATGAGTCACTATAAAGTCACTGAAAGGACACTAG